TGACTCTGAAGCTGGTTCTAGTGGCATTAAAAGAAGAAGGGAAGCAACCCCTGAAAAGGACTTGACACCTCAAGTCCTAATGGAAGGGGATTCCCCTTCTAAACACTAAAACCATCCAGTCTCCCCTCCTCCCATCCCATCAATCATCACCACATCTTCAATAAAGGTAAGTGTCATGAAACTGTGCATGTTTTCTTGAGTTTGTGTGTATTAAAATTAATATTTCATGTGGTAATTTTTTTTTTTTCATACTTTTGGGTGTCTTGCACGGATTAATTTGATTTCCGTTATTTCTTATGGGGAAAATTAATTCGCATAACGATAATTTCACATAACATTGAGCTCTCAGGAACGGATTAATAGCATTATGCGGGGGTCCACTGTATTTGATGAAAAATTGACAAAATTACACTTGCAAATTTTACTGCATCAGCGATATTTACGCATTGGCGATTTTGCCCATTTTGACTCCTATTTTAGGCCATTTACATTATTGAATTTGATCAGATTCTTAACTATTTCGCCAGTTCAGTGAAACCCCAGATTTCATCCTTAATCCGTTCCAGAAGGTCAGTCTAAATCCAAAACAGACGAAAACCGGAACAATATTTCCCATTAGAAATAATGTAAATTTTTTTTTTTTTTTTTTTTTTTCAACAAGTCGGCCGTCTCCCACCGAGGCAGGGTGACCCAAAAAAGAAAGAAAATCCCCAAAAAGAAAATACTTTCATCATCATTCAACACTTTCACCACACTCGCACATTATCACTGTTTTTGCAGAGGTGCTCAGAATACAACAGTCTAGAAGCATACACATATAAAGATACACAACATATCCCTCCAAACTGCCAATATCCCAAACCCCTCCTTTAAAGTGCAGGCATTGTACTTCCCATTTCCAGGACTCAAGTCCGACTATATGAAAATAACCGGTTTCCCTGAATCCCTTCACTAAATATTACCCTGCTCACACTCCAACAGATCGTCAGGTCCCAAGAACCATTCGTCTCCATTCACTCCTATCTAACACGCTCACGCACGCTTGCTGGAAGTCCAAGCCCCTTACCCACAAAACCTCCTTTACCCCCTCTCTCCAACCCTTTCGAGGACGACCCCTACCCCGCCTTCCTTCCCCTATAGATTTATATGCTTTCCATGTCATTCTACTTTGATCCATTCTCTCTAAATGACCAAACCACCTCAACAACCCCTCTTCTGCCCTCTGACTAATACTTTTATTAACTCCACACCTTCTCCTAATTTCCACACTCCGAATTCTCTGCATAATATTTATACCACACATTGCTCTTAGACAGGACATCACCGCCCCCTTCTGCTTCCTCATTGCAGCATTTACAATCCAAGCTTCACACCCATATACGAGTGTTGGTATCACTATAATTTCATACATTCCTTTCTTTGCCTTCATAGATAATGTTTTTTGTCTCCACATATACCTCAATGCACCACTCACCTTTTTTCCTTCATCAATTCTATGGTTAACCTCGTCCTTCATAAATCCATCCTCTGACACGTCAACTCCCAAATATCTGAAAACATTCACTTCTTCCATACTCCTCCTCCCCAATTTGATATCCAATTTTTCTTTATCTAAATCATTTAATACCCTCATCACCTTACTCTTTTTCTATGTTCACTTTCACCTTTCTACCTTTCAACTTTTACATTTATTATTATTGTTGTTACCATCCACGTACCTTGTTCACTGAGTTTAATCATTTCTTAAGCTGCCTCGATGCATCGAGAATGTAAACACACATACGAACACACCAGCTAACCCCTTTACTGTGAACTTTTGTGCTTCCATTTTCTTCTTGTTTTTCCTCTTACAAGTGCTGCTGCACTTCTGACTTTATATTCTACTATGGGATGCACTATGAAGTACAGTGGTCCCTCGCTTTTCGTAGTTCTCAGCAATCCTAAATTTCGCCAATCATAGGGGTATTTTCGTATAAACATGGACTCGCGAATAGTAGTTCGTCCGGGACGCGTATGCACGGTGTAAGCCGGCGCGGCCTCCCTACCCAGCCAGTCTGGCATTGTTTACCAGTGAGTGAAGGTCCCCTCAAGTGCTCCTACGAAATATTTCATAATATTCCACTCATTTTAGTGCTTGCAAGTACTAAATAAGCTACCATGGCTCCAAAGAAAGCTCCTAGTGCCAAGCCTGTGGTAAAGAAGGTGAGAAATATGTACAGTGACAAAGTCTTGGGCCATTTTAGGGAAGTGTTAAAGAGGCACCAGAAACAGAGCTCTCTCCACAGTTACTTTGCGAGACAGGACTAGAGTGACTCTCAAGGTGGTCCAAGTGGCATTAAGAAACAGAGAAGAGAAGCAACCCTAGAGAAGCAATTGGTACCTGAGGTGTTGCTGGAAGGGGATTCCCCTTCCAAACTGTAAACCATCCAATCTCTCTCCTCCTCCAGTCTCCCATACACTAAGAAGAATCTCCAATAAAGGTAAGTGTTACGCTGTTATTGTTTCATTCATCATTTCCCATTGTATTGTTTATATACTACATGTATATTTCATGTAAAAAATTTTTTGTTTTAATACTTCTGGGTGTCGGGAACGGATTAATTGTATTTACATTATTTCTTATGGGGAAAATTGATTCGCAAATCGTAAATTTCGTTTATAGTAATGGCTCCAGGAACGGATTAATTACGAAAAACGAGGGACCACTATACAAATTTATAGACGAAATATGTAGTCTTGGAGATTGCTTTGTGCTGAGATGCACCATTAACCCCTTTACAATAAACTTATTTTGTACTTCTTTTTTCCTGTTGTTTTTCCTCTTCCAAGAGGAAACACATTAGGAAATTTGTACAAGTATGTAGTCGTGGAGACTGTGAAAGCTAGTGTACTGAGTGGCTGTGGAAGGAAATTCAGATGCTTGACGCTAAGATGCTGCACTGCCCGTTCACAACCCAAATTCTTGTACAGTATACAATAACGACTTGTCAGAGAGCCCGTCATAACTCTGAGTTGAGTTATCAGTAAACGAGTACATTGGTAACTGAGGAGAGGCTGTATATGTTAGTGTAAACTTGTTATCTGGCATTTATATTCATTTATAAGTGGAAAAAATGGCATTCTGCTTTTCGGTGATGTCCGCTTTACTGCAGTAGCCTGGAACCTAACCTGCCATATAAGTGGGACCCTGCTGTATTTCCTTTTCTCTTTTAGGTCACCCTACCTAGGTGGGAGATGGCCAGCATGGTAAAAAATTGTTTAATCCTCTTATTGTACAACATCTGTGTTATCTGCATAGTCACTGCAGTAGTACTTTTGTCATACTTACCTTTGATCTCACTCTTCCCATCACCCTTAACCTCACTCATTCACAGTTCTTGTTTACCCTTTTTAATCTCTCCTTTAGCACTGAATGGTCCATGTGAGTTTAGTGCATTCCATGAATATAAGAATAATAATACTGTAATAATACAGTAAACCCAGAATTTAAGGTTACTTGATTTAACAGACTTCAGAAATATAGAACAAAATCTGCTGGGTTATTTAATTTGAAAACAACGGACTGTCCATTAGTTACTGAATGGCAGTGCAATCATTGCCATTTGCCAGAGTCACCATTATTGGTCTCCTGCTTTCCCTAGAATCCTGTTAACCATTTGAGGGTCCGTCCCATAGTTCTACGGCTTTGAAGCCAGGGTCCAAGCCATTGTTCTATGCCATGAGCTCAGCTCACTCAGATAAGCTGTGAGTGGTAAATTTGAGCCTAGATATAAGAGAATGCATCTATGTGGTAAGTGTGCACCACATAAAACAAATCCTGCAGCACACAGTGCGTAATGCGAAAAAAAAGAGACCATGTTTTTTTTTTTATTAAAATAGCAACTTTGCAGTTTATTTTTCTATATTTTTCATGATTGTATTTGTGGTTTCTTGGTCTCATTTGATAGAATGGAAGATATAATACAGAAATAGAGATGATTTTGATTGGTTTTGTACTGAAAATGACTTGAAACTGAGCTCAATGTAGCATAAAAGTTTAATTTTTGCTGATGTTCAAGAGTAAACAAATGTCACACTTCCAATACACGTCAGTGTGCGTTCACGAATGTGCTGATATTATTTATACAATTATTACAATATTGCATAGCAGTAAATCTTCTATTTTTTGGTGTGAATAAAAATATATTATGTGAATAAAAAATCAAAGTGGAATTCATTTGTAAAGCCTGGAAACAACTAATAAACAGAAGAAATTTTATTTTAGTGCCAGGAGTGCCTGCATTGTTTAATCTGGACCTTATTTTTAAATTGGAATATATTTTGAACCTTGTGTGAAATTGACCAAATTACCGATTGCAGATCACTTCTTTGGGTAGTTGAAATAGTTGATTGGGCAATTTCCTGTGCTCAGTCAGTAAAATAGAAGTAATACTGGGCAATTTCCTGTGCTCAATCAATAAAATAAAGTAATACTAGCGAAATAGCTAAGAATTTGGTCGACTGGAATAATGTAATTGGCCTAAAATGGGATGCAAAGTGGGCAAAATTGCCGATACGTAAATATCGCTGACACGGCAAAATTCACGAGAGCATAATTTCATCAATTTTCCATCAAATTTCATACTTTGTGTGTTATTGCCTTCATAAAAAGATTCTCCACCATTTCATAAGAAAAAATAACCATTTTTTTTTTAAATTCTTGGACCCTGTGGACAAGTTTCAGATCGGGGGTTGGACCCTGAAAGGGTTAAATCAAGGGCATTGTTCATCATCTTGCTTCACATTTGATTCTGAAAAGGAAAAGCTGTTGCTTTAATTTTACACAAATGTTGGTGTATTTGCATTTTGTTTCATTATTCTTTTTTTTTTTTTTTTTTTTTTTTTTACCACTAAGTTACCCAGTGAAGAGAGATAGCATGGTAAAACAAGAAAATAAATACAAATTGTAAACTCTGTTTATGCTTTGGTTTTTATCATTTTTCTGTATTGCTTTTATTCAGATAACTTATGATGACATCAGAAAAACATATGGTGGTAACACTTCAAGAGGGGGTTACTACTCCAGCTGGAGCTCCAGTGCTAATGCGTATATGCTCATGTACAGACAAATTGCTAAGGAGAAGAATGTCGATGCCTTTACCCGGGAGCAGCTCCCACAACATATTAAGGTTAGCTGTCCTTGTATGATGGTTGCTTTACCTGCTCCAGCAGTTGATGGCTCATGTTTCAAAGTAGCTCAGTAGATTACATCTGTGTATCCTAAAACTTGATCGGCTAACCCTAAGAAAAGCATTAAGCTTGAAGGCAGTGATTTGAAACTTTTGAGAAGTATGATAACATTGTTTTTTCTCATTCAAGTCACCCTACCTCAGTGGGAGACGACCGCTATGTGAAATTGAAGATGCACAAACAAGCATGACATTATTTTTACTATCTAAATTCATAATAGTTTTAACTTAGCCTCAAAATACGTATATATAATAGTACAGCTCAGATTATGCTTATATTATTTAACACTTTTTTTCAGTTCTGCTACCATACAATTATATGCAATACTGTATCTGCTACCATACAATTATATGCAATACTGTATTGATAGTGATTATCATTATTCCCACCCACTCTAGGTGGGAAAAGGTTGATTTTTTTATTACTGCAATGTTCAGTGAAACACAGAACTAGTTAGGACCTTGGTTTTTCTGTTACTCAAGCATTCATGTACAGTAATTCAATGAAAATAATCCATAGGCAATTATAAGTTTTTATATGCTTACCCACATTTTTGTATTCCTAACAGAATGGTCTGGGAAGATGAAATAAAATTAAATGGAAATTAATATAAGTCATTGCATTCACTAATATTTATTGAAGTAAATAAAAGCTGAATTCATTACTTTAAATGTTTTATGAATGTTTTTTTTTCTTAAAGTATCTTAGCCACAGACATTTTTGATACTCATGTATGTCTGTGCATAAATGTGACAATTAATTCTTGCAACAGGACTTAGTACAAAGAATGACAGAAGAAGAAGCAGCAGAAAGAGAACAGCGAGAGATTGAGCGGTGCACTTGTCGCATTAAGTTATTTTGCCAGCCTACCGGCCAGAGTCAGATAGAGAAGAAACTCAGAATTCATAAAGACTCCACACTCAGGGAAACCACTAAATTAGCCCACAAGGTAAGTGCATAGTTGATATGTATGTTGGATTTATTTTTTTTTTTTTAATGTAGTTTTTCTATTGCCTAAGGACAAATGTAGCATATGTTAGCAAATTATGAGACATCTCACTGATAATATCATTCCTCTTTAACAGGAGCTAGGATTAGAAAATGTTGTTCCTCTAGAGAGATGTCGCCTTGTTAAGTATGAGGAATTTCATGACAGTTTAGAATGTTCATTTGAGGGTCAAGAAGATGATCTCATATCTGAAGTTCTAGGTGGTGTCAGGAGTTCATACAAATTTGATCTTTTGATGGAAATTCGTGATGAAGACAAGACATTTGAAGTTTATAAACCTGGAGGTAAGTAAGTTTTGCTGTCTTTGTTACCATACTGATACAACACTAATAATGTATGCTCTCATTTGTGAATTAAGAGCACTAAAATAAGAATTTTTTATACAGGTACAACTATAAAGGCCCATGTAGTGAATTTAGAAACTGAGGAAGTAGAGGGACCATATAACTTAAGAGGGAGCCTCGTCATGACAGTACGTGAGCTGAAGGAGCTACTTGGTCGTTCACTGAACCTGAATCCAGACACAATGAGAATTGTGTTAGAACGTTACTACAATGATCTGAGACCACTGATATCAGACACCAATACACTAACAATGGAAGGTTTCTACAGATCAAACAAGGTAAACAAATCTAACATATTACCAGGTATATTTGCTGTTTGGAGTGACATCTGAACTGTCTTATCTGCACACCTCTGTAAAGACAGTGATTGTGTGTGAATGATGGTGAAAGTGTTGAATGATTTCTAAAAGTGCTTCTTTTTTGGGTCACCTTACCTCGGTGAGAGACGGCTAGTGTATTAATTTTTTTTTTTTATATAAATGTCTGGAGCTGTACTCCACATCTTATGAATGTGGGGTACAACTGTCTTGTTATCTTGATAATTTTGTAAATATTATCAAAATAACAAGACAGTACATAACAGAAGAATGGAGGAGTACTGCAGTAGGCTTACTAGTTCATGCTATGCAGGTCCATCTCCAATCCAACCCTCCTTACATATATTTATCCAACCTATTTTTAAATCTACTCAAGGTTTTGATGTGTTCTTGTGGCCACAACATGCCTGTGCTCTGAAGACCACTGTAAAGAAATATTTGTATGATATGTACATAAACCCTAAATAAAAAACAAGGAAAAGGCAGTGGCAGGGATGGAGTGAGGAAAGACCGGTGGTAGGGAATGATGGAGGAGCTGTGAGCAGGAGGGACTGAGGGAAGGTTGGTGGGAGGAAGAGAAGATGGTTGGGAGGGGGATATCCAGATGGTGACACCATCTATGCTTGGTGTATTTATCATACACTTTATTTAACCCTTAAATGGTCCAAACGTATATATACGTTTTTTCAACATCTGAAAGTATGTAAAAAAATGTAGATCTTTTTTTTTTTTTTGTTTTACATGTGAAAAAGTGTAAAAAAAAACTTTTTATCTACATTTTTTTTGTTATATTTGAAAATATGTAAAAAAAGTAGATCTACTTTTGTAGCACTACGAATTTGAACGTCGATCTGTTTGGACCGTTTAAGGGTTAACAACCAGTCTGATGCAATAGAGTTGTTACTGTGTTCACATTTTATCCAGTTTCCTTTCATTTTAACTCAAATTATGTAAATGGAGTGAAGTAGAGGATATATAAATATATATAAATATGTTGTGTATCTCTATACGTATATGCTTCTGAACTGTTGTATTCTGAGCACCTCTGCAAAAGCAGTGATAATGTGTGAGTGTGGTGAAAGTGTTGAATGATGATGAAAGTATTTTCTTTTTGGGGATTTTCTTTCTTTTTTTTGGGTCACCCTGCCTCGGTGGGAGACGACCGACTTGTTGAAAAAAAAAAAAAATCCCCCCTTCCATCCAAACAGGATCACAACATGTTCAGCCATAATCTGAGACTTTTTATTAATCACAAAATACAAATTTAACCTAACTGAATCTCAGGCTACTAATACTGCTGCTGCCACTGCTATTGTTGTTTCTGCTGCTATTACTGTTTGCTGCTTTTGAAGCTATTGCTACTGTTGTTGTTACTACTACTATTGCTGCTGCCGCTGCCCCCCCCCCTCCTCCCTCCTCCTCCTCCTCCTCCTCCCCTCCTCCTCCTCCTCCTCTCCTCCTCCCTCCTCCCCTCCTCCTCCTCCTCCTCCTCCTCCTCCCTCCTCCTCCTCCTCCTCTCTCCTCCTCCTCCTCCTCCTCCTCCTCCTCCTCCTCCTCCTCCTCCTCCTCCTCCTCCTCCTCCTCCTCCTCCTCCTCCTCCTCCTCCTCCTCCTCCCCTCCTCCTCTCCTCCTCCTCCTCCTCCTCCCTCCTCCTCCTCCTCCCTCCTCCTCCTCCTCCTCCTCCTCCTCCTCCTCCTCCTCCTCTCCTCCTCCTCCCCTCCTCCTCTCCTCCTCCTCCCTCCTCCTCCTCCTCCTCTCCCTCCTCCTCCTCCTCCTCTCTCCTCCTCCTCCTCCTCCTCCTCCTCCTCCTCCTCCTCCTCCTCCTCCTCCTCCTCCTCCTCCTCCTCCTCCTCCTCCTCCTCCTCCTCCTCCTCCTCCCCTCCTCCTCCTCCTCCTCCTCCTCCTCCTCCTCCTCCTCCTCCTCCTCCTCCTCCTCCTCCTCCTCCTCCCTCCTCCTCCTCCTCCCTCCTCCTCCTCCTCCTCCTCCCCTCCTCCTCCTCCTCCTCCCCTCCTCCTCCTCCTCCTCCTCCCCCCTCCCCCCCCCCCCTCCCCCTTATACGTTTCCTTCAGTTATTCGGCACTAATTTTGGCTACATAATTTCAAATTTCCAGGGTCCCACACCAACCTCTGTACTGTTTGGTGGCGCTACTTGCTGCATATCTCATTACATTTCTTATCTCCATTATGTTATTTACTGCTTACTAATTTAGCCCTAGCCATAGATTTCAGTGAATAAGAAAGCTTCTCATTAGGTAAAGCACCAACACAACCATTGTCCATGTAAAGATTGGTGGCTGAAGCACTGTCTTTCCATATAGTCATATGCAGATTTGCTTTTATTCCTCATTCACATTACAGTTATCTGCCTTCACATTATCTACTATTCATAACAGATAAATAAAAAAATCTCGTTAAATATCGTTAAAACAACAGACCCCCAGGTTTTCGAATTATTCCATTAAAGATGTGGTGCCGTATGAACCAATTTGGTTGCCATGAGCAGTATATGTGATAGATTATCATTTGAAAATTATACGCTAATATCAACATTACAGCTTATTTGCCTATCACAATTGATCTACTATGACATAAACAAGATAAATAACATAAAACATGTTAAATACTCCAGATTAAATAATACAGTGGACCCCCGGTTTACGATATTATTTCATTCCAGAAGTATGTTCAGGTGCCAGTACTGACCGAATTTGTTCCCATAAGGAATATTGTGAATTAGATTAGTCCATTTCAGAACCCCCAAACATACACATACAAACGCACTTACATAAATACACTTACATAATTGGTCGCATTGGAGAGCTGATTGTAAACCGGGGTCCACTGTATTTGGCATAATACTGAGCAGTTCGACGGAGGTATGAAGAGGATATGGTATACAAATGCCATTCTCCTATCTCTGTCTTGGGGGCTTATATTAGAAAAAACGGAATATAGCACAGGGCTAACTGTGATATACACTCACACTCCACCATAAACCTGAAACAGAAAAGTTATTTTCTCTATATAGATTATCACACATAGCAGCATATGTGTAGAAAACCTAGGATAACCCAAAAAAAGTCAACGTGGCTTATTTCTAGTACCTGGCTTGGGTTAGCCATTTATGATTTTTGGTAAATATTCGATTCCCAGCCAGGGTAGAAACATTAGGCATGTTTCTTTACACCTGTTGTCTATGTTCACCCATCAGTAAATGGGTACCTGGGTGTTAGTCGACTGGTGTGGGTGTTATCCTGGGACACTGACCTAATTTTCTTGAAATACTCTGCATAACAAGCAGCTTTCTATACAGTTATATGTCACTGATGTCAGCTAGGCCTGTATACCTTGTACATGTACGTGTAGTAAATAAAGATATTATTATTATTATTATTATTTTCTCAGTTGTTTGTTGGGTTATCTTATTGAAACTTGGGTAATGTATGATGGAAAGAGACTTCTTAATGTACACCAAAAATGAAAGAAATCAGACCATAAATAGTGGAGTTCACTTCTCAGCCATTAGTGGCCGCTTAGCGGTTTATTTTTGTATGGTTTTTATGGTTATATTCTCGTTTTTTCGGTCTCATTTGATAGAATGGAAGATATATTACAGAAATAGATATGATTTTGATTGCTTTCATGACAAAAAGTGTACCTTGAAATTACGCTCACAGTAGCAAAAATGTTCTATTCTTTAGCAAAGCTCAAGAGTAAACAAATGATGTCACCGTCCAATACCTGTCTGCCTGCCAGTCCAAATTCCAATATGGAGTCAAAAATGGGTTGACATTATTTATACAATTATTACAATAATGCAGCAGTCTGCATAACAGTAAATCTATTTTTTTTTTTGTGAATAAAAATTCCAAATTGTAAGCAAGAGTAATTTTTTTTATTATTTATTTATTTATTTATTTTATGACTTTGCAAACAGTACATTGAGATTTTATATTTACAACAGTGGGTTGCAATGCAAATAGAGCCTTTATTATGCCTAGGCATTATGGGCCAACTTAACATTATTGGCTTACAGACTACTTAAAACTAAGGATTTTATCATAGTTGTACAGTAGGACAGTAATTATTTCATAGTTGAACAGTATATTATTAATTATAAGTGAATTAAATTTGTATAAGACAAAGGATATATTCATATAGTCTAAAATGTTTTTTGTGAAAACATTGGTTCAATTATATTCCTGTCAACATTGGATAAAAGGTTTAAAGTGATTGTTGAAGTTATGATGTGGGAGTACATAGGTGAGTATGTGTGTACTGAGTATTTAGTATTTAGTCTAGGGTGATTAAGTGGCTTTTGAGAAGAGTCTTAAACTGATTTTCAGATTGGGTTACTTTAATATTTTCTGGTAATGAATTACATACTTTAGGGCCCTTTATGTGCATAGAGTTTTTACACAGTGTGATATGGACACGAGGTATATCAAAAAGAGATCTGTGTTTTGTGTTGTGGTCATGTGTCCTGTTTAAGTTGGTGAGGAGAAGTTTGAGTGGAGGGTTTATATTTGTGTGTATTGTTCTGTGTATGTAGTAGGCACATGAGTAAGTATGGATGTTCTTAATGTGAGCAGATTCAGACTTTTGAAAATTGGTGGAGTATGCTGGCGGGAGTGGGAATTCGTTATCATTCTTGTGCTGCCTTTTGCTGGGTTATGAGGGGTTTTAGGTGATTGGATGTTGTTGATCCCCATGCACAAATTCCATATGTAAGATAAGGGTGTATGGTACAGTGCCAGGAGAGCTGATTGTGGAACGTAGTACCTTATCTTTGATAGTATGCCTACAATCTTGGAGATTTTCTTGGTGATTTGTTGTATGTGTGTCCGTAACTTAAGGCTGCTGTCAAGGTGGATACCTAGGAATTTTCCCTCTGTGAGTCTTGTGACTGATGATCCATTTAGCGTTATGTTAATCGGATCATTTGTATGTGTGGGAGACG